GGCCACCGTCGTCGTGGGCCGAGCCGTCCGGACCGAAAGCACACGCAGGCTCAGCTCCTCAGAGGCGCCCATGCCGCCCGCAGCACTGTGTGCTGGGGAGGAGGGTCCAGGCTTTCTGCTCTGTTAGGAAAGCAGCCAGGGCGCCAGCCAGTGTGGCTCAGTGGTTGAGCACCGACCTGGAACCAGAGGTGCACCAGTTCGATTCCCGGGCAGGGCGCATACAAGAAGTAACCGATGAATGTGTAAATAAGTCGAAGAACAAACTGATGTCCCCTCCCTCCCTCCCTCCCCTGCATCCTTTCGCTCTGAAATCAATAAAATAAAAAGGAAGAAACTCAACCAGGATGTAGTAGTGTGTTCTTCCTAAATGTCCCTTTTCAGGTAGTTCATCTGCAAGTGTCCGTTCCTGTGTCTTGTTCCCACGGAGCTAGTTTCGCTGCACCTGCCGGAAAAGGCCTCTGAGGAAACTGTCCGGTCCTCACAGTGAGGCGCGGGGTGCCTGGGCAGGGCTTTCGCTTGTGCATCGTGTGGAAGGCAGACACCGACCGCGCTGATGACCGGGATGAAAGTCACTCAGGGCGGGCAAAGCCGTGAATGTGGGAAACAGTTTATACTAGTATTATTACTTATTTATTATTGTATTATTAATTATTATAATTAACCTCCTTTTCCCACCCCTGTACGTATTTATTATTAAAGAAAAAAATTTTTAAAAAAATATATTTGTATTGATTTCAGAGAGGAAGAGAGAGGGAGAAAGAGAGAGAAACATCAATGATAAGAGAGAACCATGGACGACTGTCTCCTGCACTCCCCCCTACTGGGGATCGAGCCTGCAACCCGGGCATGTGCCCTTGACTGGAATCGAACCCGGGACCCTTCGGTCTGCAGGCCGGTGCTCTATCCACGGAGCCACACCAGCCAGGGCAGAGAAAATTTAAAACCACAGAACAGCAAGAGGAGGGGGGTGTCATGTCGAGTTTCTCTTCTCAGAATCAAAGGCATGGACTTCAGGGTACTGTCTTCCTCTGTACATTTAAAAAATGGGGTCACAGTCTTCATACTTTTTCCTTCCACGGCATCAGCCTTTTCCCACGTCATTAACATTTCTTTGTAAGTGGCCTGTCATTGTCGCGATAGTATTTTAACTTATTCTAAGTTCTTGTACTAAATTAAGGACATAAAGCCCATTTCAGTGTTTCTTATACTGATTTTCCCTTGAGCTAGAATGAATGAGTGGAGAGACAGTAACTTCTGAAAGGCCCGTGAAGCCCTGAGACCTGTAGCAACGCCGTGTCGTTTCAAAGGCCCCTTCCCCGGGGTCTTGGTTGGAGAAGGCGAACCCTCCTGGGGTGGCAGCCCTGGCTGGTGCAGCCACGACCAGCGAGTGCAGGCCCAAAACCTGACCCTGTGTTTGTAAACCCCCCCAGGCGCGGACGCAGTTGCCACGGGTCACTACGCACGGACGTCCCTGGAAGATGAGGAGGTCTTCCAGCAGAAGCACGTGAGGAGACCAGAGGGCCTTTTCAGAAACCGATTTGAAGTTCGAAATGGTGAGTGACGGGCAGTCAGCTCGGTTACCGAGACCAGGCGGGCGGCTTCGAAGAGCGCCGGGTCCTTGCTGAGCGTCCCGCCCCACTCGGGGGCTCCAGGCCGGCTTGTTCGATTGGGGTTCCTCAGGGGGTCACTTCCCGGGCCTGTGGGTGGTCATCTGCCACCAGGAGAGCCCGGCGGGCCCGGCCGGCAGTGGGACATTGGACCGTGAGGCGCCCCTAGACCCTGGGGGGATTGGCAGGTCCCGGGCCTGAGAGATTTGGCGACGCAGCTGGATCAGGCTCTGTTGCTCCGTCAGGTTCTCGAGGCTTGAGCTGTGGCAGTCAGTTAGGTGTCGGAGCATCAGTGTCCTCGTCTGAGATGGGGATACGTCTGCCCACACCGCTAACCTAGAATCGGGTTTGGAGTCCTGGGTGGAAAACAGGAACTGCAGAGAGAGCATGTCACGCGGGTAGCTGAGTGCAGCGTGTCGAGGCTGCCAGAGCGTGGGTCTGAGAAGCGGGGGAGGACGCCGCACACTCGCACGGCATGTTACTTCATTGGTCAGTGGGCAGAGGGCACGGCATCAGTTACTTCATTGGTCAGTGGGCAGAGGGCACAGCATCAGTTAGTTCATTGGTCAGTGGGCAGAGGGCACGGCATCAGTTACTTCATTGGTCAGTGGGCAGAGGGCACAGCATCAGTTAGTTCATTGGTCAGTGGGCAGAGGGCACGGCATCAGTTACTTCATTGGTCAGTGGGCAGAGGGCACAGCATCAGTTAGTTCATTGGTCAGTGGGCAGAGGGCACGGCATCAGTTACTTCATTGGTCAGTGGACAGAGGGGGCAGTCCCGCAGTTGCGACCTAGAGGAACAGCAGCCAGATTGAGCCGGGGCCACGGGGCCAGGATCCGCACTCTGCACTGTATCTGGTCCCTGGAGGCGCCCTCATCAGGGCTTGCAAATAGCAGAGGAGCCGCAGGGGAGCTGACAGTGTCCGCTGGGCTCTGACACAGACACGTGCACCCGGAGAGCGTGCATCTATGCAGAGCTGATGCCCCAAGGCGTGCCCTCGGCCACAGCGGGCTCAGTGCGCCTGCCATGGCCAGGACGCCAGGACGGCCTGCAGCCTGGCTCTGAGCCGATCCCCCCTCCCTCAGCTCCCCACGGGCTGCGTTTATTCTAACCTTGGTTTTCCATGGGATGTTTCTTCTTCGGAAATATTGCCCTGAAGGTGGGAACTGGGATAGAGTTCCTCATCCTGTGAGCCCTCCCTTCCCTGTAACGTGTTTTAACAGCGGAGGAGCCCGGGAGAAGGCCGCACTGACCCCGTGGCTCTTCCTGAGCCTCCGCGCTGAGTGTGAGCACGGCTCTGCCAGACGGGGGCGCCGTGTCTGCGGACGAGAGGGCGGCACTGAGAGCGACATGTTCACTCCTGCACGTCTCTTGTTCTTCCTCTCGGCAGCGGTGAAGCTTCTGCAGGCAGCTGACAGCTGTAAAGACCAGACCTTCTTTCTCAGCCAGGTTCCCCAGGAGGCCCTGCGGAGAACGCTCTGCCCCCTGGGGGGGCTCACGAAGGATTTTGTGAAGAAAATAGCTGCTGAGAACAGACTGCACCATGTGCTGCAGAAGAAGGAGGTGGGACCCGAGTGTGGCCGCCCCTGGGAGCTGGTTCTGGGCTCAGCCTTCAGAGAGCACCTTGGCCGGGTCTTCTCCCTCCTCCCCTGCTCGGCCCCTGGGGAGGGGGGAGCAGCTTTCCCAGCGGCCTTGGTAGCTCCTTGGGGTGCTCCTGGCCCTGCGCCAGGAGGGAGTAGGCAGTGAGGGCTGGGCACGGGACTCCTGCACGTGGTCGCGTCTCCATCCATGGCTGGTGCGTGCCTGTCGGTGCTGGGAGCCCGGCGGTGCTGCTGCCTCAGGGCTGCCTTCATGGAGCTGGCAGTCACT